GGAAGGATAAAGTAGACACTATTTCTCTGACAGGGTAAAGCAAAACATGTTCGTAGGTATTTTTTCGCCAAACTTGGTATGAATGAGCTGGTTTTCCGATGCTGAAAGACTTGCTTTCCTGAGGCCATTTTTCTTCTAACACAGCGACACTATCAAACTTCCAGGTTTGGACGTGGCTGATGTGTTACAGTCCTGAGAAGCCAGATCCCAAACCTAATGTGGAGTCAGGAAAAGTAGGATGCAGCAGCTGGGGCCAATTAGAGCATTAGGTTGCTGAAGTTTTCCTGGTATATACATTGTCACACTGAAAATCATCGTTCTCACTCTTTAGCGTTAGTAATGTGTGAGCAAACTTCTGTGTGTAATAAAAAGTGCAAATAATTTTTGGATTCAGAAGTTATGTTGTCAATGAAATCACTTGAGATCTTGTAAGAATGTCAGAGCTATGCGTTTTAAAGTAAACTCACTTTAAATTACTTTAAAACTTGAATTTATGTAGCTAAGGAAAGGTAAGTGTGTAAGATGTCTCTAACACGTTAGTTGGCTGTTGGAACTGTTGCTGCGTACCTTGGGTGCAGTAATTGCATCAGAAGAAGTGCAGCCAGCAGGTCGAGAGAGGCGATTCTGCCCCTCTGCTCGGCTCTGCTGAGACTGTGCATGGAGAGCCCTGCCTGGCTCCAGAGCCCTCAGCACAGCAAGGACATGGACCTGCTGGAGCAGGTCCAGAGGAGGCCACAAAACGATTGAAGGGCTGGAGCACCTGTGCTGTGAGGACAGGCTGAGGGATTTGGGGCTGTTCAGCCTGGAGAGGAGAAGACTCCAGGGAGACCTTACAGTGGCCTCGCAGGACCCGAAGGGGATCTGCAGGAAGGGTGGGGAGAGGCTGCTCACAAGACCGTGTAGCAACAGGATGAGGGGCATTGGCTGTAAACTAGAGCAGGGTAGGTTTGGATTAAGCCTTAGGAACAAATTCTTTACAAGGAGGGTGGTGAGACAGTGGCACAGGTTGCCCAGAGAGGTGGTGGAGGTCCCATCCCTGGACACAGTCAAGGTCAGGCTTGGTGGGGCTCTGGGCAGCCTGACCTGGTTGAAGATGTCCCTGCTCACTGCAGGGGGTAAAGGTCCCTTCCAACCCAACGCTTTCATAAATTTCAGCAGAATTTCTGTGGCCAGTGACCTTGCAGAAACTGAAAGGAATAAAAGTGGCTGCAATTTCTGAATTTAGGAATATAATGAAAAACTAAGGACCACAGCCACAAAACAGAGGGGTAGCAATGCTGACAAACTGATTTTTACATAATGCGGCAACAAGAAGGTGCTAATGAGTAGGTCTGGTACTACTGACGCAGAAGTGGCCATGGCAAAATAATGAACCAGGGTCAAATGTTTTGATGTGTGTTTTTCTGTAATATGGAGGATACTGTCATGAAGCAGAGTTTGGTAGAATGCTAGCTATTTGTAAGCATTGTTGGATGCTCGTTTTAAAAGGGTGTTTTGTTGATTAATCATCTACATACTAATTAGTATTTATATGGATGAAAGAAAAGTCTTTTTTAATTAAGGATGGAGGCCATAGTCCTCACAGTTCACTCATAAAATCAAATCATAGTAAATAAAACCTGGAATATGTATATATTTGTGATTTCTTTCACTTACTGGCAAACTTAATTTTCATAGGAGAGGCAAGGCTTTTATACAAGGACTTGTCTGCAATGCAAGCATATGAGTACTGATAGCTTTTTTTTCTTACAGTTTGACTTTTGGCAACTTTTGTTATGCATAAAGCGAACTAGCTGCACAAGTTAATCTGTGTGGTCCCTCATTATATCTGTGCATGATCACTTTGATTTCTTCCCTGTGTTTTCACACTTAACTTTTTCTTTCGCTCTGATTAATCAGTTTAAAAGGTGGATTCAATAATCTCCATCAGCCTGTCACACATGCAAGTCCTTGTTTAAATTGCCCTTATGATGCCCAGTGGAAAGGAAGCAAATCCAGCTGTAGGGGCAGAATACAGTTGAATAGCTGAAAGTAAAATTTCTTCGGTTTTATTTTTTGTATCTCAGTAGAGGGCAGTTTTGGTCTTTGCATTGACTTGTTATTCAACGTGCATTTCTTTTTGTAAATATGCCTGCATCTATATAGACTTAGGATATGTTTCTCTGTTCTGAATTATGTGATTATTTATGTGCATATATACTTTCCCTTTGCTCTTTCTTTTTAAGGCATGCGAGATCAAGAAACTATGTTTCAGAATCTGAAGTGTGCAAGCTGGAATCAGTACCCTTGGATTTTGGTGATTACCATCCCCTAAAACCCATTACAGTGAGTTTCTTTGTATGTTTTTGGAAAATGAATGTGAATTAATGCTGATTGTGTTCTCCTTACTTCAACTCCTTTAAAATGAAAGATACTTTGAAGTTGGTGACGGTACTAGTGAAGTTGCTTTGTGTGCTGCTGGCCTGTTATTTTAGAGACATCAAGGTTTATTCTGTTGTTTGTCCTTCACAGAAATTCACTGGTGCTGTTATGTGTCAGAAACAGTCTCTTCCTGACTAATATAGCGTTTCAACTTGTGGCTTTTCTTGGTTGCATTAAATGCTGAATAATGGATACGTTTAAAATGCAAATTGTTGCATTACAAATAACCTGCGTAATTGCCTGATGTAAGATTTGGTTTTGGGTTAACTTCCAGTCAGCTGTATGCTTTAAAACATTAATTGTTTCTTTAATGTATAAGAGGCTTTTAAAGAAGTGGATGTACAAAAAAATCCAGCTTCAAAGAGATGATAGTCATAGGCTAATGAATGATAAATGGGCAGCAGCTTCTACTCAGGAAGGTCAGTGGGGAGATAAGACAGAGGCCTTAAGAATGGGTTTGATGTTTCAGGCTTGAGTATTGTACAAGAAAAGTAAAGGTGAGACTGGCAGAGGAAATCAGCAGGGAAGAGGTTGGAGGGAGGAAAACAATAAAATCGAGGAGGGATGCTAGAAAGAAGTGTAGAAGGGTTGTTCTTATAGTTCTGCAGACCCAGAATTGGAAGGAAGAATTAAAAAGAAATGGCAGTGCTAGTGCGGAGTGCCTGCAGGTTCAGGGGAAAAAGGTGCTTTGATTTGAATGCTAATGTGTATTTTGAAGAATTTCTTGTAGGTGGGTCCTTGCTTTCTTTGCAGCAGCACAATTTATGTAGTACCTATTTTGACGATTTATTAAAGAAAATAGGGAGGAGAAAGAGTCTTTTTGCTTAATAGTTTTGAATTTTTCTTTCAGGTTACTGAATCCAAGACCAAGAAGATGAACCGGAAAGGAAGTACTTCTTCTACCTCCTCTTCTTCTTCCAGTTCTATGATGGATCCGCTGAGCAGTGTGTTGGATGGCACCGATCCCTTGTCGTTATTTGCAGCAGCTGCAGATCCTGTGACTAATACTGCTGCCATGGTAACACTGGAGGGCAGTTATCTCAGCTAAAAAACCCCCCAAAACAACAAAACAACCCCAAAACAAAACCATAAAGCCACCGTGGATAGAATATATTTGTCTCACCAATTTGGAGGTTAATGCAAATAGAAAATATATTGTAGTAATAGAATAATGTAGTGTTTTCTTATTTACCTCTTTTGTGTTGACATTTATTTAAAAATAGGCTATTTTTTTATTTTAACTTTTTGGATCAATAAGCACTTGAAATGTTAAGTTGACCTTGATCAGCCTTCTCTTTTTTTTCCAGATGTGTATTTAACATTTGCGCTCCTACTCCCCTCATAGGATACTACACGAAAGAAGCGGGATAAAGATGACAGCTCAGCGGTAGGAAGTGACTTTGAACCATGGTCGAGCAAACGTGGGGAAATTCTTGCTAGATACACAACAACAGAGAAGCTGTCTATTGTGAGTGGCCGCTTCTCCAAATGTATTTATGTGTATTAGACCCTTAATAGATTTTGAATGTTCTTGTTCTGTAATTATATAATGAGTAAATGTGCATCCTCTAAAATTCAATTTTAATATTATAGAAAACTGTGCCTCAAGCTCTCACTTAAAATGATTGTTTTGGTGCTGAGACCAAAGTCTGTTGATACTTAGAAGCCATCACCTTGTCTTTTTGTGACAATACAAATAACCTCAGTGCTTATGTCTACTTCTGTATGGTTAGAGGCTTAATTAGCAGTGTAATTAGCCTGTACATTCTTGGAATACTAACTGAATACATGTGTTTTGAAAGTCTGCTTTTTCTGTTTTTTTCACAGAATCTGTACATGGGATCTGAAAAAGGTGAGCGGTTCCTTTATATCTAATAGTAACGGATTTTGGTTGAGGTAAGTTTCAGTGACAGGCTTGTGGTCAAGAAGAGTTAAAATGCAGTTTCTTCTCTTTCCCCTGTTCTGACATATGGTTGGACCCATGGTTTTTTTGTGTGAGTAACACTTCTGCTGGATTTTTACTTAAAATAATGATTGAAAGCAAATCACCCAACCACCTTGTCTTGTATGCCTTGTAGGTCAATGAATTGTGATTATGTGCTATGGAAGGAAGTGGAATTCACTGCCTTCCACCGTGGTTTAAAACTTTCTTTCATTTGAAGTGAATGAGGATATTTTGAGGATTGTGTTTATCAACTCTTCCTCTTGCTGGAAGGGAGAGCAAACAAGTCCCTTGGGAACTGGTTCAGTTACTGTCTGTACGTGGAAGTGAAATGATTTCAGCTGTATGCTGAATGTTCAAAAAGCAACCAAACGTTAAATATTTTATCATGTTTTGTAGCAAAGCAAATGCGGGCTAAGTAGTCATAGCTGATTGCATAGTAAATCAGAATTTTTATGTATGAGTAAACATGCAGCATTTCAGCTTCTGCAAAAAAAAACCAAAACCTTTTTGGAATGGGAACGGCCAAACACTGCAACATAATGTCCAGAGAGGGTGTGAAATCTCTGTCCCTAGATCTTACTAAATTGACTGGATATAACCCTGTGCAATCTGTTTAAAAATTGCCCCTGCTTTGAGGAGGGGAGTTGGACACAGACTTCTATAGGGCTTTTCCAACTTGAGTTATCCTATGGTTCTATCCGGCAGTTCTTGCCTTACCAGCAGAAATTGCAGGAAAATCCATTTACATTGAGTTTTTCTTACTTGTCATTCCCTGTTCAAAGTGAACGAGCTCCAGACACACTTAACTGTGTCTTCAGGCACAGCCACCAAATGGAGCACCCCACGTGTCTACTGTCATGGAAGCTGACTAGTTGTCTGAGTTGATCGTGCTCCTTCAGGTTTGTTTCCTTTAAAAGTCCAAGTGTTGAAATGTTAAAGCCTATAATTCTTTACAGGAAAAGCTACAACTACTGGCTCCGCAGTTTCTGAAAAAGTGAGGACAAGGTTAGAAGAACTGGATGATCTGGAAGAGGTGGGAAAGTTTTCTGATCCAATCACCACTTAAAAAGTGAAATAAAGTAATGAAATAAAAATCTTTTACGAAACCTTGTAAGAAAGTCCTGATTCTGCATGTCCTTAAGCAGTATGTAAACAGACAGATACTTTCTCTAGTAATTTCAGTCCTTACTGTTACAGAATTTGGGCAGAATCATAATTTTATATTGCTAGAAATTGTGACTGAAAAATTCACCTGATGTGCCAATGATGATTTACCAATCTGCAGCTGCTATAAAACTTCATGGACCCTAACAGTCTTAGTGTCTGATAGTTTTGTTTACCCCTGTTGCAGAAGCTGCATGCTATCTATCCGAGCTTAATGAAAGTTACATTTCTGTGCTTGATAAAAATACTGAGTCATTGAGTTAATTCTCAAACTGCAGCATTTTACTGTGCAAGGACGAGGTGTTCCATAACTTACTTTCCTAAGACCTCAATTCGTGGGGTATTTCTAGAGTTGTTTTAGACAATACTGTTTTGAAACCTCTGTCTCTTAGCTGAGCCAGCACACTTCTGATAGTTACATGTCACAAGTAAGGATTGGATTCTTTGAGTAGAAAAATAAAGTACCCTTTACCATAAGGAAATAAACCTTCTCTGAAACTAGTCGCACTCACATTATATCTCTCAATCAGTGGTTGTTTTTACTGATGATTGTTTCTAGACTCTCCTATTATGAAGTCTGGTCTGTAGTGCAGTTTGATAAAGTCTTCAAAACTACTCCTGAGTTTCTCTCTGATGCAGCTTCTCCGGGGGTGCTCTTGTGCTTCTGTGCAGCGTTAGTGTCTCCACTGAAGCGCGAGTACAACACGCTGCGATAGCCCAGCGTTTCGCGTCTCATGGGCGCCTTTGGGTACCAGCATGTGTGTCTCTTGCAAACCAAAGCAGTTGTGCTGTGCTCCTGTGCCAGACACCTGCCATCCCGATGCTGCAAACCTTAGAAGAGAAAATTAGGGAATTCTGTAATGAGTTTCCCGGGTTCTGGCCCTGGTGATTTATCTCCGTAATGATGGCACTTTCCTTCCTTCCCTCTCTCTTTTATTAAGTAAATTTGTGTTTTCTTGCCAGGGGTCACAGAAAGAGTTGTTGAATCTGACTCAGCAGGATTACATGAACCGGATTGAAGAACTGAACCAGTCTTTGAAGGATGCTTGGTCCTCGGATCAGAAAGTAAAAGCTTTGAAAATAGTCATCCAGGTCAGCTTTACATTTTTGCTCTGTACAGAACTGGTGAGGTTGGTAAAGAGGCTTGTTGAATTTCTTTCTTGGGGAAAGAAGTGTTTCTATTATTTCTCTGCTTTTTTCTTCTGTTCTTCACTGAAAGCCATTTCTTTGAGTTTTATGACTTCTGACAACAGTTGGATTTTAAACAGTGTTGTTATATATTGATTTTGACTAGGGTACATGGGATGGAATTCTCAGTAAAGAGAGCAGCCAGCTGACAAATGTGGGAATTTTACCTGCTTAGCGATAATTAGAAAAGAAATAATAGCTAGTGATGTCAACTCTTTCTAGGACATATAATTTCCTATCCTCTTCCCCCTCTGCCCCCTTGACTCCATTCCAAATAATACCAGAACGGCTTTTTGAACGTCAGTGTTTTCCTCGTCCACGCTTACTAAGGCAACTGAATGATCTGATTTAGGACCTTAACAAAGTATGGAAAACAGCTTCAGTTTTTAAGTGCCTGGATCCTTTTTTTTCTTTTTTCTTTTTTCTTTTTTTAAAAAAAACCCCTTCAGTCTTCCTCTTGCTCATTTAGGGTGATGGGCTGTGAAGGGGGAAGGGGGGAATAGGAAAATTTAATGCTCTTTTGTTTGGCTTGGCCTTTAAAAAAGGCCAGAGGCAAAGTGCATCAGAGGACAGAGGAGATAATGACATCCTTAAAAGCTGTAAAACTGATGTAATGCTAATAGTCGTCAAGCAGGGTTATATAAAGTGAGGACTTTTTTTTTTTTTTTTCTCTTACTGGATACTCTCGTGGAAACTGTTTGCAGTAATTTTAGCTTCAATTGTAATAAAGACAGTAAAGAAAATGAAACGTAAATGAAGGGAGATCAGGAAATTATATGTGACCTAGAGTGACTGAGGTCCTATTGCAATACAATGAAATCGCGACTATTCTTAAAAAAATTTTCATATATCACATTGTGAAGTGTGAATATCTTAGCGAAAGAGAATACAATTTTAAAAGTCCGGAGCAGAAAAAGAACATCAATGTGCTGTATTTACAGTGCGTTAATACACGTATACATGCAGTGCTTGACATTCAGTCATGCATTAAGCTAGGCATGAGTGCTTTCATTCTTTTATAGGTGGTGTCATGAATGATTTTGAAATAATATGGTTTCTAAGATGGGATTCAGTGCTTGCTTTTAGGAAAGTGATAGCGAAATTCCCTGTGTTTGTCTCAAAGTGTTGTCTATGTATTGTTCTCTTTGCACTTGAATTTTGTGCTGCAGATGCTCATCTTAACTGAAAGATTGAGTAAGGATGAAATAGGTTTTGGGTAGTTAGCATGAATACAAAAATCCTTCATAAAGGAGACCGTAAGTAACTAATAATAATTCTATACTTGTAGAGCAGGGTAGGATAGAAACCTGACTGAACTTGATTGTTTGTGATTCTTCCTAGTCAATAATGTAATTTTGAGGCTGTTGTATCTTCTTAAAAAAACTAAGAGATTTTCTTGACATCAGGCTGTGATTTATGTGCGTAGCCTATGACTATTAATATCACATACTGATTAGTGTGCAATAGGAGGAGTACGTTTGGTTAGTTTTTTGGTTGCTATTTTCAGAAACATATACTGGGTTGGAAAAGTGATTTTAATTTGAATGCCAGAATTCTCTTGATTTAAAAACAAATAAAATTACGCAAGATCTTTCATTTGGTCATTGGGGATGAAGCCTTCATTCTCTGATGTATCAGACTCTTACAGATCTTGAAGTGCAGAACGAGTTCTGCTTATTAAGGCAGGGTCTGAATTTATAACGTGAATTCCTCAAGTGCCTTCTTACAAGATACTTTAGTTGTCAAGATGGAATAAGCTAAGCTGCTTAGAGTAAGCTGAAGTAAGTTGATTATCTATGTGAGCTCTAAGAAAAGTGGTAAGTACGTGTTCATGGTGTGTGTTGGTCCTGAACAACTACTGAATTACCTTTCTTTGAAGGTGACTGACTTACCACACGGTAGGGAGGATTCTGCTTTGGTTGTAGATGTAAATGCGCTCCTTGTGGTGCACTCTTAAGTTCCTCCCTGAAGAATAAACTGGAAAGACTAAGTGTGCCCTTTTGTTTAAGTATGTTCAAGCGTTATGATTTTCTTGTTTAAATAAAGCAATCTTGTGGGATATTGAATTGGGTGTTTGGAATGTAATGAAAACTTGAACTTTATTTATTCCACTGAGATAAAAGAATTGTCTGCTGATGAAGGAGCGAGAAGGGACAGAGATCACAGAGGTCGCAGCCTGTCACGGTACTTGTCAGTCACAAGTAGAGACCGCAGAAGGCTTGTGGCCCAAGGCCACGTTTGGCTCATGGCCAAAGGGAGGAGGCGCTTTCTCTCCCCAGTCAGTCGTTTGCCTCTTTTCTTCAGGTGGGACTTGATTCTTTGTGCTGCAGCTTCTGACTGCAGTTTAATCTGCAGTCTTTGCATCATCTTGGAAAAAAACGTATAACTTAGTTAAATATCTTTAAAATATCTTCTTTCTTCACTGTGTGTTCTGACTTCATCTCATAAATGGTTTCTACCTGGACTTGCATTGATTGATTCTAGAACTCAGTTGGCTAATATGTTTTCAAATGTGACTTTGCACCAGCCCTCATTGCAGTCCAACATCCGTGCCCGTGTTGGGCACCTGTGAGTGGTGAGTGGTCACAGATTCCTCCCTGGAGCTGGCTGCAGACCAGCTGGCCTCTCTCCAAAATGTTCACAGTGCTTACGTGAGCCACAGAGATGTGCTGAAAAGCTCATTAGCAAAACTTTTAAAATTGTTTCTTGGTTTAGTTCATATCAAGTTTTGTGTTTAATATGGATGTTTGGAGAGATGGTGAGAAACTGAAAAATGTCCTTAGAAGAGGTTGTTTTAAAAAGTGCCTTGTTATGCTTCTGGGAGAGAATTTGTCTTGTCTGAACAAACGCACAGATCTGTGCAGTCAGCTGAAATTCTGCATTGTAGATGCAGCAAAAACAGATCTGTGACTAGCTCTGCTGGGAATGAAGAGTTACCTGAAATATAGAAAGAGCACCACGATGTGTTATGTTAGATGCTCTTGTGCTTTCTACTGCATAGTTGTTTGTGTTGGTTCTTTCCATCTGTAGATACTTCTCTCTTCCAGCCTGTCTGGAGTAAAAACACTTGTATTGTCCTCTAAAAATTTTTCCTTGTTTTTTTCCTTCTAGTGTTCTAAGCTTCTTTCAGACACAACTGTGATTCAGTTCTATCCAAGTAAATTTGTTTTAATTACAGATATCCTCGATACTTTTGGTAAGTAGCTAATGTGCCAGACTTAGTAATTGTTAATAAGATGGAAATAATTTTTTATAGTGTTAGAAAACATCAAAGTTATCAGAAAAGTGCTGACATGACTCTGGTTTAACACTGAACTTTTCCAACATAAATGTTTAGACACCAGTAGTACAAACGTGGTATAGAATTCTTCAAAAACTCTTATTAGTCCTTAAAATAAAAATACTTAATTTAGTAATTCTGTGCTTCATATACTAGTGAACACCTAGAGCAAAACCTTGGGAAAAATCACAATCTTCGTATTTTGAAATTTGAAACACATTGTCAGTATTATGAAGGTGTTTTGGTTTTGGCAGCCTTTTGACTGAGTATTTTGTTCTATTTATATTTGAAGGGTAAAAGTCAGAAAGTTTTTCTTTAGTTGAATGGGAACTGTGAAGCGATCAAAATGTAGTTACTTAATTTTTTTACTTGTCATTTTTTAAATTTGTTTTTATCATTTTTTAAAAAGATCCTTTAAGTGAAATTGTTGTCCACTTTGTGTGATTCTCTTGGTTTTTTTGCCATGTTATGGAAGAGATTTACAACAGCGTTCGAAGTTGAAGGGTATTTTCATGTTCAG